AAAAAGCTGATCACAGTGGAAAGAGAACAGTTCAGCGAGGTGTAACCGATGTGTCAGGCCTACATTTAGCACCCAGGGGGTAGACAAGACACACACCCAAACAGTACCATAGAAACTGCAGCTTTGTGCTGGCTGCTGAAGATGAGGACAGGCGCTTATGAGAATGTCCCTAGTGATGTGATGTCGGTTTTTGCCTCATGTCTTATATTGTCTTTGTCCCTAGTTATCAAACTGGAATCTGCAGTGATGATGATGGTGGCGGCAGCAATAGCAACACCAGCAGTAGCAGTTGTGGTGGTGAGGAGAGACTGTGGTAGCGCCGGCGGCAATACCAAGAGTAATAGTCGCAGCAGCAGCAACAACAATAACAGTGACGGGCATAACAGTGGTGTCGAAACTCCGCATCTTCAGCCTCCCTCCAGGCCCATCCATACACTACTGCACATTTTCCACCAGCTCACTTCTGAAGGCGTCTGTGGCTCAGGCCTAGCGAAAGTGCTTAGTAATGCCGGGGTGCCGGGTTCGATCCCAGCTGCAGACAATTCGTCTTGGGTTGGTTTCGACAGTGGTACCGAGAGAGGACTGTCCAGAAAACTGGCAAACAACCACAACAGCCAAAAAATGCTGGGGTTGGTTCTGCAACGTCCTGTAAAGGATACGCAACTTTTTCACTTATGACGTCATCCGCGCATTTGACAATCCTCTTGAACCAATAAGAGTCTCAGGTGGCCACACTGAGAGCAAATGCCACACGTAAGATGTGAATGGCGGCTGATCAAGTGTCTTCAACAACGAGTAAATCTGCCGTGAGATTTCATTCCTCAGTATACATTCGGTTTACAGCAAAAGTCAACAACCCGTACATTTAACGCAATCTCGCTCCGGTTGTATTTTTTTTTTTTTCTGGCGCAGCCGTAGTTGTGTTTTGCAAACAGCTTAAATTAGCAAGAAACTTACTTAACGTGTCAGTAAACTTGAATGTTATCGCACAATTCGTGGTTGTGTATGAAAGCAACTTTTGTGATTAAACAGTGGTAGATTTATTTTCTGAATTATAAGTACAAACACTTTTAACACAGTAATATTCTTTATTTTGCTGTAAACAGTACTTATATTTATAAAAATGGGATTTAGGACGAACGTTTTTGTTATCAGCGTCCTTGGATACCAGTTGCTCTCTAATTATGGAGTCTGTGAAATTCAAGGTAAGTTTCTCCCATCATTTCATGTCATGCCAAAATCATTTAATAACCGTGTTCGAAAATAATGTTGGCTGCTAGGAGTCTTCAACAAGCTGCATATATTACATATCCCTAATTCTAGGAAAGACCTATACAAAACAAGTTTGGCGTTCTCCCCAGCTCAATTGTGAAATTATCTTCCACAACAAATCAAAAATGGCACTAGTCACTACACAAACATTCAAAAACTGTTTGAAAATTACCCGAGCACATATTACATGCCCCAATAAAAGATAATACAAATATTTTAGAATTAGCCCACATTTTCCCATGATTTATTACAACTACTACGGTTTACTGTAGTTAGAAATGTGCACATTTCAGTGCTTGTATTGAATATGTGATGTTATTGATAATGTTTACTATTATTTCATTTATGAATGAAATGATGTCTGAAAGAGGGAGACTGGAAGGGCACAATGTTACACAGGCCTGGGTGCCCTATTCTTAACCTTTAGAAAATAAAGTTTGTTCGTTCGTTCGCTCGCTCCATGCGTGGTCCTGGTTGGACACTCTGTCAGGCTGCTATTGCCCACGTCTAGTTGCTATTGTACCACTCGTATCGCTGCATATTTAATCATAATATGTGAATGTTTTAAAAAAATGGGCTTTTATTTTCTATCTTGAAGTGCTGAATGATCGTTTAACTGGTTAAACAAGCAACAGGGTTTCGTAATCCTGGAGGAGGAATGGTCCTTCGGTTCCCCTTCTTCTCCTTCTCCATCTCCTCCTCCTACTTTTCTTGCCAGGCTAGATATGGTGAGGGCTATTTAGGAGCTCGTGAACATTGTGGAGGCTAGGGTGACCGTTTACTTCCTGCATTGCAAGTATATTGCATAGAACGGTGATGGAGGGGGCAATTTCAGGGAAATGAGGCAAAGGCCGACCTCTGCGAAGGTGGTCACGAGAAATTGATGTAAAAACACGTAGAGCAGGATAATTTGCTAGAGAAAAAGAGGCTTTCAGGCGTGCTGTGAAGATAGCGACGTTCTGTAAGGGACAGGCTGATTGATTGATTGATTGATTGATTGATTGATTGATTGATTGATTGATTGATTGATTGATTGATTGATTGATTGATTGATTGATCGATTGATTGATTGATTGATTGATTGTAATAACCACTTTGTGGTGAGTCCGGCGCTTTTGTCAGACACTTTGTGGTGAGTCCGGCCAACAACAACAAATCTGAATTTTACATATCTGTTTGCTGACAGTTTCAAGAAGTCCTCATTAAAACAATGAAAACACAAACAATACGTTTCGCAATGTACCACATGACACGTTTCTCTGTTAGTAGCGTGTTTCAGTTACAATATGATTTCAATTTAAGCATCTACAATGAAAGCTGGAAAGCCACTGAAGACATGGAATAAAAATTAAATGCGTTTGAAAAAAAAAATATACCTGAGAAAAATTATGAACATAAATCAAACCTGTGGATTTCAAGATGTATGAAGAAATAAGAAAAATGTATGGGCAACTACTAGTGACAACAGTTATAAAACAAAGAATATGGCGCTACACTGAACACATCCTGAGAATAAACGAACATAGGATCACCGATCAGGCACTGAAATAGGTAATAAAGGGATTGAGGAAGCGAGGATGCCTGGGGAAACCTTAAGACGAACTGGTGATTTAATAATATCCTACCCTAGATGGCGTCGCAGGACAGTCCAACGTTTTAGAGGGTGGTAAGACTGGGTTTCCAGGCTTTCTGATGATTTTAACGAGCCCAAAACATCTAGAACTGGCCCTAACCCCAACCCACCTACGTTCTACGAGAGAGTGCAGCCTAGGATCCACGACTGCATGCAGCCTAGGTCCCACGACTGCATGCAGCCTATCTAGCACCACTTGAAATATTAGACTGTCCCGTGACCTGTGGATTTCCCCTGTTTTAGGTAGGATATTATTAAATCACCAACGAACGTTTATGGAAGATGCCTGAGGGGCTGGACTGAATTCAATTCATAATATTGCATTGATGGTGCTTTTCATTTAGATAACCACAAATGGCGTCACGGGACAGTCCACTATTTAAGAGGGTGTTAAGATCGGGTTTTCCGTGTTTTCTGTGCTTTAGCGCGTTTCTTCCAAGGCCTTAGTTTTCGTGCGTTTACCTATCCTTAACCTCAACTCTAACACTAACCAAAACTATACGCCTAATCTACCACCCCCTGAAATCTATGACTTTCCCGTGACCTGTGGATTTCCTTTGTTTGTGGTCGGTTAAAAAGAAAGTACTGAATGTATTGCACAGTATAGAATGGAAATCAGTACTATTACACGGGGCGGAAACATAAAGAACAACTGAAGCAATTACTAATAAACTGTAATTTAAAAAAAAGGTAAAGTCTGGAGATGTGAACCAGCTTTATTGCACACGGTTATAAACTTTAAGAGCTCTGCCACCAGTACGGACAGCTGATAAGAAACTGTCCGCCTGTGTCGCCGTCCGCACGCAACTCCGTAGCTATGGCGACGTTCAGCGAGTGTTAACTCTGGTACCCATTACCTATAGGCTGGGTGAACCCCGGAAACCGCCAGGTTTCGAACACCATCCGTGGGCTGCAGCGAGTGTCAGTTGGATTTAAAAGCGAGTCTCCTATCGACTGCGCTAATGCAGCCCCTAAATAATATAAATACTATTAAACTACAAGCATTCATTAACTGGTGCCTGCACAGAATAGAGGGAATTATATGGTAAGATAGAATCACTAATGTAGAGCTTTGGGAGAGAACTAAACAGGTTCCTTTGAACCTAAAGGTGGAGAAAAGACGTTGGTGTTGGATAGGACACACGCTGAAAAAACATGGGAACATACAACTAGAATTCCTTGCACTAAAACCCACAGGGGCAAGGAAATAAAGGAAGACCCCAAAAAAAAAACATGGAGAAGGCAGCTACAGAGTGAAGTTAAAAAAAAAAGATGGAGAGACATGGGGAGAGCTGCATGCCATATCGAAGGATAGAACTACTTGGCGTGAGTTTGTTGACAGCCTATGCTCCATTAGCGGTTAGAAAGGCATAAGAAGACAATCTGACAAGAGTCGCCGTGGTGTAGCGGCTAAACTCTGTCCTGCGGATAGGAAAGTTGTGGGTTCGGTTCATGACGAAAACCTTGACTCCTAGGTCTACACAGCCTAGAATAGGTACCAGGCAGAGTCATGGGAAGTAAAGACGGTCAGTGTGGCGCTAACCACATCAGCCACCAAGTCCAACTGGTCTATACAATATAGGTCTACGCTTGAGAGCGTAAAACGGGGGGGGGGGGGAGGTTCTTTACTTCTACTGTGTGATATACAATAGTCCAAAGGGATAATGTATGAATAAATGAATGAATGAATGAATGAATGAATGAATGAATGAATGAATGAATGAATGAATGAATGAATGTATGAATGTATGAATGAATGTATGAATGGGTGAATGAATGGATGAATGAATGAATGAATGAATGAATGAATGAATGAATGAATGAATGAATGAATGAATGAATGAATGAATGAATGAATGAATGAATGAATGAATGAAAGTTTTGCAGTATTGCGTCAGTTACCTTGCGAATTTGCGTCAACAAACGATTAGGCTTAAAATACGAGCCCTTTAAACTGAAATATTGAAACAACATTGTTTCTCCTAACACTGAACTTCTCACTAGTCAAGGAGTAAGTAACGAAGCAATGACCACAGAAGTTTGAGATTCACTTATTTTTTTGACAACCATTTCAGATTGTAAAGCCAAACTGGACATGGTCATTATTGTAGATTCTTCTATCAGTGTTGGCAAGGCCAACTTTCAAACGGTAACGGCCTTCCTCAAAAGTCTCCTGGGTTATCTGCCGGTCCATCCGGACGGAATCAGGGTCAGTCTCATCAGGTACGCCTCCAGAGCTGACGTCATAACTTATCTTGACGAAGACATGAATAAAACAGAGAAGGCTGGAGTTGTCGCATCTATGGCCTTCAGGTAGGCATTTGGAAGTCAGATGATACAGACGAAATCACCCTAATTCTACTGCTGCTACTACTACTGCTACTGCCACTGTTGCTACTGCTAACACTACTGCTGCTGCTGCTACTGCTACTGCTGCTGCTGCCTACTGCTACTGCTGCTACTGCTGCTACTGCTGCTACTGCTACTGCTATTGCTACTACTGCTGCTAATGTTACTGCTACTGCTGCTAATGCTAATAATTATACTGCTGCTGCTGCTACTGCTACTAATTTTTCTTCTACTACTACTACTACTACTACTTCTACTACTGCTAATAATTATACTACTGCTACTACTACTACGACTACTACTACTACTACTACTACTACTACTACTACTACTACTACTACTACTACTACTACTACTACTACTACTACTACTACTACTACTACTACACAACTCGATTCTTCTGCTGCTACTACTACTGCTGCTGCTGCTGCTACTGCTACTAATTTTTCTTCTACTACTGCTAATACTGCTACTAATGCTACTGCTGTAAATGCCACTACTAGTAGTAGTAGTAGTATTTCTGATGCTGCTGCTACTACTGCTGCATTTAAACCTGAAGTGTAAAACTAATGTGCACGCACAACTCAAGTTGTGGAACAAGGCTCAATTCCAAAAGTGGACGAACAACCAGAACTTTCCGCCGGAGTTTACTGTTGATGGACGGTAAACAGGTTATAATAATTATTATTATTATATTATTATCCTTATTGTTTTTTTTTTTTCAGAGGTGGGGGCACAAATACACATTTAGCACTCAAAAGAGCTCGGACTGCTCTACTGACGCCAGAACGAGGCGATCGGCCCGACGTTCCAGACCTGGTGATTCTGACAACCGATGGAAGCTCAACGAATAAAAACTGGACCAGTGCTGAAGCAGCAGCTCTGAAGGCAAATGAGAATTTGAAAGTAAGAACACATCAAAAATCACAACTCGCACTAAACTTAAAATACTAGCAGGCATCAGATGAAAACCGTAAAGGTGTGGTAGGAGTTACGGTAACCATACCATTATCTTGAAACTTGACAGTGTTGTTGGTAAGGGTGTCAAGACTGGGGGAAATGTGATATCACGGTGCAGACGAACATTGTGACGTCATAATGACAGTTTAGAGATGGCTGTTTTAATTTTGACACGTACCTAAGAGACGCTGTGTTCTGTTAGAAGCTGTCAATCAATGAAGTATATTACGTCTTCACACTGAAAGTTGGCCGCAATGGATCTCCAGCACTGTCTCCACTGATTTACACTCTCTGAGGCTGTACTTTGCCAATCTGTTCAAGTTCACCCCCCGCCCCCCTTTTCCCCATTTGTATCGCTGTCTATCTCGTGCTATTAGTGTTGACATCGAGTATGAATCTATGGCAATATTATGTCACTATTTAATGTGATCAAATCATTTCGCCCTATCTTTTTATTTGTTTTAGCAGCTCAGTTTTTTCATTCTCTGTCTTTTTATTTGACTACTTTTGTGTTCCCTAAAAATGCGACCTATTTCTATATCCAGTCTTTGTGAAAGTAAAATAGGGGCCTTGGAGCTGAAATGCTACAGGAAACTTATTCTCAATACCATGGGCAAAAAAGAAAAAGAAAACTGACATCATAAAAGATCTTAACATCAAGGAATATTGGCTACTGGAGATCGTCTTGTCTCAGTAACTAAATATATTGACCATTTCAATCGTCAAGGCAAATTCTGAATATATATACATATATATATATAAATATATATATATATATATATATATATATATATTTATGTGTGTGTGTGGAAAAGAGAGAGAGAGAGAGAGAGAGAGAGAGAGAGAGAGAGAGAGCAGGAAGTGATAAAGGGAAATAAATAGGAAGGAGCGGCGTCCATGGCTAAGGCGTTGCGAGTCCGACTCGTAATCCAACGTACCGCGATCGAAACCCACTGCGAGCTGTGTGGATTTTTATCGTGGTATGGAACGTCGCAGGTCGACCCATCCTCAAATGGGTACCAGGATGGGCTGTCCTGGGAAAGTAAAGACGGCTGGCGTAAGGCTGACCACATTACCCACCGAGTGCCGATTGGTCTGTAAAAATATGGGTGCTCTTCCCATATGCCCGATGCGCCTAAGGGCGTGTAAAGGGATCTTTACTTAACTTTTTATTTTTAAATAGAAAGGTGACAAGGAAAGAAACGTTGTTAAGACAATACGTAATTTCCCGCCGGACTGCAAAAACATGAAAAGTTAAGAAAACACCAAAATTCTTCCGATGCAGGAACCGTGAAATATTACTCATGGCTCAGGCGATGAATACGTAAATAGTGAATTACACAACAACAAATACAACATATACCTATATAGGCATTACCTAGACAAGCCAATTTCTGAATCAAAGAAATGAAATATAATCATCATATTCAACTTACGTTGATTTTCCTGAACACAAAACTTCGTGTGCTTAGCAGATAATAATACATTAACAATCAACAACGTGTTCAAACAGACCATGTGCTAATCACTCTAGCTAACAAAGATGAGAGTTCGACTACAGCAGCCTACTATCGGAATCACCGGCGAGGATGCACATGGAAATGTAGATCTAACACAGCCTATCTACTAAATTGTCTGCCACAACACGAAACTAGTGAGCCAATCCATCTCTCGACTCAGTACCCCTGAACTTACGTTGTGCGAAGAACCATGTAAAGAGGATGGAATACATGATTTTCGTTTAACTGCCACAGACCCAAGAGCCAAAGACTTCTTTTATCAAGTCCCAGGTCTGTTTTAACCTTCACGAACCATCATGACTTGCTGGCAACTTCCGGAAAGTCTCGATCTCCACACCTGCCAGTTTGAGTCGGCTGAATGGAGTCACTTCAAAATTATTAACAGGGTAACAACCTACCCACATCAGCTTGTCACACACACACACACACACACACACACACTTATATATATATATATATATATATATATATATATATATATATATATATATATATATATATATATATATATATATATATATAAGAGGCATGATAACTGTAAGCGAGCCATGGGCCGACCAGCACAAAGTTGGGCACAGAATACAAATGTAAAAATGGAGCCTTGGGTAAGAATGTTACAAGGCGGGAGAGCTGGCGAGAGACCAAGCTTATTCAGGCAGACCTTGACGCGAGCCTGCTACATGATAATGAAAATATATTTACATTTGTAGAGTTTTAACGCTGTTTTTCTGTCATTTCAGATATTTGTGATAGGAATTGGAAATGAAGTCGCAGACACGGAGCTAGTAGCAGTAGCTTCCCGCCCGGAGATGGTCTACAAGTTAACGGACTTCTCACAACTGACAGAAATTGTGAAGAATTTAGCCAGGTTCTCTTGTTCAGGTAAATACACCTTCATCAGGTAAAATCTGCGGTGTTGCGGTGGTAGAAGCTCTAATGCTGGTCCAAATGTCTGGAGTTTGATCCGCATCGAGCTGATATTTTCTTTCCAATGATGATTTTGACTACATAATGGAACCCAGCCTAAAATAGTTATCAGGTAATGTCCTGAGAAGTAAAAGCGGAATGTATGCTGACCACAGCACATTATCTCAAGAAGATAGAGAAGGGCTGGGTCCCAAGACAGTGGCTGGAGTCCTTAAAGCGATCGGGACTGACACATTTTAGTTTCATATTCGTGCCAGAATGTGCAGGTGTGCAATTAAATGAGCAAGCTGATCGGCATGCTGGTAAAGCTACTGTGGAGGGCGGATGAGCAATTCACATTCTGATATTCTAAATGATGTACGAGATTAAAGACATTTGCGAGAACCAAATGATGGCTGTGAATCTGCTACAATGACCAGACTGCAAGAACAAAATTGTAAAAGGGATGTGGCCAGAGAAAAGCACAAGGCAAGAAGCCAAAGAGGAATAAGAAACCAACACAGAACTGGTGTCGTGATCCGCTACAAGCTGTGGATTTACTAAGGAGGGGATGCGAGCTTTTATGGACCGAAGGGTTCGATGTGCCATGAGGGTAATCTGTCGGCTTATTAACTAACTAACAATGGACATCGATTTTAGCATTGTGTACGCAACATGCCACTATCAATCTTTTTTAATAGCAGAGAAAATATGGATGGTGCAATGTCATGGACATTTGACTAGATCTGACGGTGTCTCCAAACGATACCACAGTGCTCTGTAGGGAGAAAGGGGAGAAGAGGCATACCAAGAAACACCTACATACAGATGTTGGCTGAATGGACAGGCCTCAAATATGCAAATATCAATTTCATTTTATTTGTAGACAGTCATCAGTAACTTGTGACTCCACAACTACCGATGTTGTAGGCCTATGCTGATGATGATGATGATTCGATGGTGATGATAATGATAATGATGTTGATAATGGCGAATATTAGGTCTACTCCTGAAGCAATTCAGAGAGTCGCAGTAGAGCAATGACTATCACATTTACCTAGTGGCTCAATCTTCTTGGAACCATTTTTGAGTGGAAACATTTATGCACTTGGGCGTCGAAGTCGACTGCCTAAAAATAGGTAGCAGTAAATGTACTGGGAAGTAAAGGAGGCCGGCGTGATAATAGCCTTTTTATCCTATTTAACCATCGAGTACTGAAAATTCTAGAAAAGGGCGTGGCCATCACTTAGTTTTTTACGAAACCTCGTCCGGGCTGTTGCTTTATTATTGACCTAGGCTCCCAGGTCAAAAACTGTGTACAGGGTAAGGTCCTGGGAAGTAAAGGCGGTCTGATGCTGACCATATAAACGCATTGGTCTATCAAAATGTGAGTATAGCATCTTATGACCGAAGTTCCACTCTTATGAAAGTGGTTCCTTATCTACTGGTGAATAAATAGCACTTATAGTGACTGACTGACTGACTGACTTTCTACCCCACCAGGACATCACACAAGCGACAAAAACCCGACGACACAAAGTGCCACCATGTGGATGAGGATCGCCGTGGAGAGGTCCCAGAAACCGCGTTCAGGCAATTGGCCATATTTATGACCTGCCTATATTGCGGCCCCTGGCAAAAGCCAGGGTGGGGATTCAAATAACAAAAAATTGTGTCCTAAAAAGGACAAAACTGGGTTATGTATAATAAGCACTTATAGTGTTAGACCTATGTGTGTATACACAAGCCGGCACTCTATCTGTGATGTAGTCAGCTGCCTTTACCTTCCATGATAATTCCTGGTACACATTTTGGGCATGGTTGCCTCAAGTACTTGTAAATAAAAAAAATTCCATCTGTAATATTTCCCATAACCACTACTGATCGTACTCTTGCTAAACCCACCACAGCGGCTACTAATACTACTGATGCTGTTGGTTCTGCTGTTACTGCTGCTGTTGTTACTAGTGCAGCTGTTGGTTCTGCTGTTACTGCTGCTGTTGGTACTGCTGGTACTGCTGCTGCTGCTGGTACTGCTGCTGCTGCCACAACTACTACTATTACAACCTCCTTTACCACCATTGATAATATTACTATAACCACTACTATAACAATCACTACTACTTTTTGAAAATAGTATGATTTTCAAAACAAATAATCTTGAATAAATAAATAATGAAAGAAAATTCCAACTCTGAACTGAAAGCTGGACCAGACTCCAGAGCTAACTTTATTTTACCAACACTACAGCTTCTTCTTCTTCTTCTTCTTCTTCTTCTTCTTCGCCGCGTTCACCAGCTATAAAATCTGGTTTAAAGTTATGGTTGTTCGTCCACTTCTGGACTGCAGTCCTGTTTCAGAATCTAAGTTTTGCCTGTGCATCCGTTTGACAGATCTGACTCATTTGTGTACAGACTGTTGGTTCCTTGCCCCTCATGCAGATGCACTCCGACTTCGAAGGAAGCTCCCAATTAGTCAACTCCTACGACATGCTTCTGGGTAGGCAGTGGGTCTATTTTTGTTTTCACTATAATAGGACCCGTAATCCACACGGCTGAGTTACAGCTTCTAACTATCCATTGTTTCGTCAACTTTACACCTTTAAATTTACTGATAAATACTACTACAAACTACTAACTACTATTAACTACTAACTACTACTAACTACAAACTACAAACTACTACTAACTAACTACTAACTACAAACTACTAAATGCAAACTACTAACTACTAACTACAAACTACTAACTACTAACTACAAACTACTAACTACAAACTACAAACTACTAACTACTAACTACAAACTACTACTAACTACTAACAACTAAATACTAACTGAACTACTACTAACTACTAATTACTAACTACAAACTACTAACTACAAACTACTAACTACTAACTACAAACTACTAACTACAAACTACTAACTACTAAATACTAACTGAACTACTACTAACTACTAATTACTAACTACAAACTACTAACTACAAACTACTAACTACAAACTACTAACTACTAAATACTAACTGAACTACTACTAACTACTAATTACTAACTACAAACTACTAACTACAAACTACTAACTACAAACTACTAACTACCAACTACTAACTACTAAATACTAACTGAACTACTACTAACTACTAATTACTAACTACAAACTACTAACTACTAACTACAAACTACTAACTACAAACTACTAACTACTAACTACAAACTACTAACTACCAACTACTAACTACTAAATACTAACTGAACTACTACTAACTACTAATTACTAACTACAAACTACTAACTACAAACTACTAACTACTAACTACAAACTACTAACTACAAACTACTAACTACTAAATACTAACTGAACTACTACTAACTACTAATTACTAACTACAAACTACTAACTACAAACTACTAACTACAAACTACTAACTACAAACTACTAACTACTAAATACTAACTGAACTACTACTAACTACTAACTACAAACTACTAACTACCAACTACTAACTACTAAATACTAACTGAACTACTACTAACTACTAATTACTAACTACAAACTACTAACTACAAACTACTAACTACTAACTACTAACTACAAACTACTAACTACTAACTACAAACTACTAACTACAAACTACTAACTACCAACTACTAACTACTAAATACTAACTGAACTACTACTAACTACTAATTACTAACTGCTAACTACTAACTACAAACTACTAACTACTAACTACAAACTACTAACTACCAACTACTAACTACTAAATACTAACTGAACTACTACTAACTACTAATTACTAACTACAAACTACTAACTACAAACTACTAACTACTAATTACTAACTACAAACTACTAACTACTAACTACAAACTACAAACTACTAATTACTAACTACAAACTACTAACTACTAATTACTAACTACAAACTACTAACTACTAACTACAAACTACTAACTACTAATTACTAACTACAAACTACTAACTACTAATTACTAACTACAAACTACTAACTACTAATTACTAACTACTAACTACAAACTACTAACTACTAATTACTAACTACAAACTACTAACTACCAACTACTAACTACTAAATACTAACTGAACTACTACTAACTACTAATTACTAACTACAAACTACTAACTACTAACTACAAACTACTAACTACTAATTACTAATTACAAACTACTAACTACAAACTACTAACTACAAACTACTAACTACCAACTACTAACTACTAAATACTAACTGAACTACTACTAACTACTAATTACTAACTACAAACTACTAACTACTAACTACAAACTACTAACTACTAACTACTAACTACAAACTACAAACTACTAACTACAAACTACTAACTACTAACTACTAACTGAACTACTACTAACTACTAATTACTAACTACAAACTACTGACTACTAACTATTAACTACTAACTACTACGAACTACTACTAACTACTACTAACTACTAACTACTACTTCTACTATTGCTACTGCTACTACTACCATCATCACCATTACCGCCACTACTACTTTTACTACTACCACTACTACTACTACCACCACTACTACTACTACTACTATATTACTACTACTACTACTACTACTACTACCACTACTACTACTACCACCACTACTACTACTACTACTATATTACTACTACTACTACTACTACTACCACTACTACTACTACCACCACTACTACTACTACTACTATATTACTACTACTACCACCACTACTACTACTGCTGATGCTGCTCCCATAATACAACTGCTACTATCATCATCATCATCACCGCCACTACTACTACTACCACTACTACAACTACTACCGCTCCACTACTACTGTTACTAGTACTGCTACAACTGTCGCCACTTCTGCTAATAGTACTACCACAGTATTTATAATATTGTAATTTTAAGCATAAATACCCACCCTCTCCTTTGTTTAAAAACAGATATGAAAGAAGACTCTATATCTGAACTGAAAGCCTGGCCAAACTCCGGAGCTACTTTCACTCTACCCACTCCAAAAGCATCTTCAACATCCAAGGCAACATTGGCCTTCCAACCTTCTTCAGCAGCACCATCTAGACAGCCATCCACTGTGTCCGCTAAGACACACACAAGTACATCATTTTCACCGACTCCAACCCTGTTGCCTGTATCGCCCCATTCGACTCACAGTTTTCAGTCATCCATGTTTTCTTTACCGTTAAAACTATTGACAAACAAAACCACGTTCCCTTCAAAAGAGTTTCAGACTACTGATGATGCCACTTTTTCGTCGACGACGCAAGAGCAGACTCCTACAGATGATCTTTACAATTCAAGTTCGACTACTCAAACATTGATAGAGATGCTTCTTTCAAGTTATTCAACTACTGAAAATGAAAACAAAACCGAAACAACATTGGAACAAACAACAAAAACACACGACCCTACATTATTTAATCCTAAGACATTAGAAACTGAATCTACTTTGGAGCCAAAGATAACAGAACAGTCCACATTACTTGATGCTACGATAGTATTTGACACTGAAACTCAGTCGAGTACACACATCTTTACAAAAGATACAAGCACTACAAGTCCAATAGAAGCGCGGACTTCTACCGCACCCACAAGTTTCCACACAACCACATTTCTGGACTCAGCTGATGGCGAAGCTCGTGCTTTCGATGGTCCCCGAGCTGCTCAGCGTAGCACGGCATACTTTCCCCCACGAACATCAATGACTTCTGCTGTTACAACTACTGCCGAATCTTTCTTGCCTGATACTAATTTAACACAATTTGATCATTTTTATGTAACAAACTTAACCAAACTGTTAGGTTCAGCAAAAAGCCCTTTGTACACTTCAGCAGGTCAAACAAGCATTGCAACTACACCTAAATTAGCCAGTCACAATTCATCTAGTGCGTTATCTACAAAAACATCAACTTATGGTAAATCTTCGACGTCGTTAGTTACCGAAAGTACGACTGCTAGCATGCTTACAAATATTACAACTATAGGCAAGGTAACGCCTTCATTTCTCGATAAAACACTACTAAGAACAACCAATAAGACCACAGTTCAAAATACATTACAATCTGTAATTACTACTGCAGCGCCGAGTAAGATATCAAAATCTACATTCAGAGGATTCAGTTCCACTGTGGTTACCCAGGCTTTGAAAAGTACTACAGCTACTACCGTTCGACTACCTCTAAGAACAATAACAAGTCGCACTGCAACTACAGTCACCCATACTTCTGTGGACACAAGTCAGAAACCCTTTTCACAAAGTTCTACCAGTATAACATCAGTGCCCAAATATCAAAGAACAACAATAGATAGTCGGACCACATTTGATACGAACGATGTAAAGCCCAGTGTATCACCTACTCACAGAAACACAGTAATAGATGCATTCGAAGAATACCTGGAAAATAAAAACACAAGCAGAATAATTAACACAACGATTGAGAACATACCTGGCCACACCGGGGGTGACCTATCCAGCAGGGATGTTTACATATTTATTGCAGGTGGCTCGGCTACGGCGATTGTTCTCCTGGCCATGAGTACATTTCTGGCAGTGCTTTGTCGCAAACGGAACAGTAGCAGAAATCTGGATGCCAAACCGTAATTAAACTGCAATCATCAGGGACCGGTGGCGACCTTAAACGCACAATCCTATTTGTGACCCAGACGGAACTCAATGTTTAGCATGACTGATGTCGAACGCAGAAGAAGAAGAAGCATCAGAGTCCTATCATATCGTTGTATGTGTTAGGTTCAAATTTCAGTCTACTTCATCAATCGTTTCTATCCTGTGCAACTATTTCGACGTTATGTATGGAATCCAGTCCAGCTTTTCTGGTCCATGTCGACAAAGTTCGTTTTAGGGTTTTTTTTTTCTTGGACATCCTCGTTTCCTGTGTCATTTTTTTTTTCCTATTTCAGTACATGTTTGGCGCTTCTCTGTCCACTTCAGTGAAACCGTATCCTCATTGGAACAACGGGGTACGTGCTACTGAGCTGATATTCTAAGCAGCTGAAAGAAGAAGAAGGAGGAGGAGGAGCAACAGTAGGTCGGACTGTGTGCCAGGATGTCGACACGTATAACAAATAACGAGTAATTAGATTATGTGTCATGTTTTTCTCATTATGCGTACAATATATCGCCATCGACTTTGTCTTTGAATCGTTGACACCAGTCGTCGTCTAGACATTTCTCTGATTTATTCGCTTGTCTTGAAAGCATCCAGTTTAAATTCTCTCATTTGCTTAATGAACACTGTGATAGACAATAATTATTTTCTATTGATTTAATTGTTTTCAACTTGTATTAATTTATTTGGTAACACTGTAACACTGTAACACTGTAACACTGGACGACATGTTGAAAAGAGTCTTATTCAGAAGACTGGAAATAAATGCCAAACTGAAGATCCTCAACACAACTACTCTAAATGCAGCCAAGGTTAACATACCACGAGGCAGCAGGAAAAACTTTAAACCTTACTGGTCGCCTGAACTGGACACTCTGCATTCCAAACTTAGTACCAGGAGAGAAAATATGGAGAAGGATCCGAGGGATAAAAATATAATACTTCATAACAGAGCAAAAGCAGCCTTCATTAAAGAGAGAAATAATCAGATGAGGGAAAGTTGGCATTTAACCTCGAGAAGGACACTTCACGTCTGTGGAATCTCACAAAAAGCCTGAATGGAGACAAGACAGAAAAAGCCAGAGTTGTACTCCTAACAGACGATGGAGCTGTTACTGGCAAGGCAGCAGCAGATGTGCTAGCTGAAACACACCAGAAGAAAACTGAGGTTCATATTTCCATGCAAAGAATAAAAGAAGTACGAAACCAGACCAAGACTCTTCTAGCAGACTCTAGCACAAAAAACAACCGAGGCCTGCATGTCAGAAAAGTTTACTATGCAAGAGCTGGAAGTTGGAATTGGGGAGTTGAAAATGAAGAAAGCCCCAGGGGCTGACGGCATTACAAACGAATTTCTCTCTAATCTTGGACCTGCTGCCAAGAAGTTTCTTCTCTGCATTTACAACCATAGCTGTCAAAAAGGTGTGGTACCGTCAGTCTGGAAGGAAGCTCTCATCCAGCCTATCCTTAAAAAGGGTGGAGACAGAAGAGACCCAAAAAGCTACAGACCCATCAGCCTTCTTAGTTGTGTAGGAAAATTGATGGGGACATTAATAAATAAAAGACTAATACTAATTAACTCGTTAATCACCACCACCCAGACAGGATACAGACAGCACAGAAATACAGAGGACCAGTTGACATATCTGGCACAGGAAATTGAGAATGCCTTCCCGGAAAAAAAAAAAAAGTTTTTGCTGTCTTCTTTGACCTCTCTCGTGCTTTCGATACAGTTTGGAAAGAGGGCCTACAACTAAAACTGCTACAGGCAGGAGTTGTGCATAACATGTACAAGTGGATCAAAGACTTTTTTTTTTCAACGCAGAGCCAGATTCAGAATTGATGACACGTCGGCAAACTGGCAAAACTAAAAGAAGGAGTTTCCAGGGCAGTGCGATAGCACCAACTCTGTTCCTGGTTTACATAAATGATATCACAGCAACATGCCACCAGCACGTTTATAATACCCTACATGCTGATGACTTTGCAGGAGTTTCCAGGGCAGTGCGATAGCACCAACTCTGTTCCTGGTTTACATAAATGATATCACAGCAACATGCCACCAGCACGTTTATAATACCCTACATGCTGATGACTTTGCAGGAGTTTCCAGGGCAGTGCGATAGCACCAACTCTGTTCCTGGTTTACATAAATGATATCACAGCAACATGCCACCAGCACGTTTATAATACCCTACATGCTGACGACTTTGCAGTTTTGACAGCCTCCGAATACACTACCACAGCCTCATATCTGTTACAGAAAACTGTGGAAAATGTAGAAGCCTTGACCGAAAAGTGAGGTCTTAAGCTAAATAATTAAAAAAGCACAGCATCACTTTTCTCTCCCCCCCCCCCCCCAATCCCCCAAAAATCGAAATTCGGATAAAAAACCAGCTCATTCCACAGACTGACACTCCTACCTTTCTGGGTGTTACACTTGATTCGCGACTAACTTGGAAGTCACACGTAGAAGCAGTACAGGGGAAAGCAGTCAAGAAGCTTACAGTGATGAAAAAATTAGCTGGTACCACATGGAGAGCTAACTCCAGAATCCTAAAACAAGTATATACTGGAGCAGTCAGGCCAGTCATGGAATATGCCTCCACTGCATGGGCTGCAGCAGCCAAGACAACAATGGGAAAACTGGACAAGGTTCAGAATATAGGATTAAGGATTGTTCTCGGAGCCATGAAATCCACCCCCATCAGAGAGATAGAGAGGATAGCAGATATTGAACCACTCGAACTCAGAAGACAATACAAAACTCTTTTACAGTATGAGAAATTGAAAAGACTTCAAAGTCACCCACTGTATTTTAAATTTCAAGAGAGAACAAAAAACAGACTGAAGCGTCAGAGCCCCAACCACATTGCTAGAGAACTGTACAGACAGCACCAAGATCTACTTGAAAGAGATGTAGCTCTGTGCGAAAAACTTAGGCCAGAACCATGGACAAGCACGCGAGAGAAAGCAAATGTAGTTCTAAAGGTACCAGGGATCACTTCAAAAGATGCCCAGACGGAGACACAACAGAGATCTATGGCTCTTGTTATGCTTGATTAGAAGTATCCAAACACCACTTGGACTCAGGTTTTCATCGACGGCTCTACTATAGATGCAGTCAGAAAGGGGGGTTGTGGAATATACATTAAACCCCCTAGCAGTAGAGCAGAAACTCTCTCTCTCTCTCTCTCTCTCTCTCTCTCTCTCTCTCTCTCTCTCTCTCTCTCTCTCTCTCTCTCTCTCTCTATCAGCAGGTGATATCTGCACTAACTTCAGAGCTGAGGCAACTGTCCTCCTTTCTGCAGTCCAACATCTCATCACTCAAGAATACAGAGGGCACAAAATTGTTATACTTAGTGACTCAATGTCTGTTCTCCAAGCACTATCAAGCAAAAAACAAGACAAACTAATTGCAGATCTAAGGACCAACATTGGCTTACTCTCCAAGGAAGCAGAACTGGTCTTGCAGTGGATACCAGCCCACTGTGGTATTCAAGGAAATGAGAGAGCAGATGAGTTGGCAAAAGCTGGGAGTAATCTTCCACAACCTCACCCACCACACAGCTACAAGGAAACCAAAACAGCACTAGAGCAGTCTTTCAAGCGGGAGTGGAGAAAGCAGAATAGAGATTACAGACCAGAGAGTGACAGCATAAACAAACTCAACAAGAAAGAACAAACGTCAATTTTTAGACTTCGGACTGGACACTGTGGTCTTCGAGCACACCTGTACAGGATAGGCATAAAGAATCTGCTGCCTGTGATTGTGGAGCAGAAAGACAGACCCCTGAGCACATACTGCAGTACTGCCCTTACCTCTCCCAGCAAAGACTGTGGATCTGGCCCAGGGGATCCACATTGCCAGAGAAGCTATGGGGGACCGGTGGCGACCTTAAACGCACAAACCTATTTGTGACCCAGACGGGACTCAATGTGTAGCATGACTGATGTCGAACGCAGAAGAAGAAAAAATGTAATGTTTTTTAAATGTTCGCAATTGTATTTTGGAGATCTGCTGGCTTAGTTGTTAGTACGCTTGCCTGCGAGTTGGTGGTTGGGGTTCTGTTTCTAGCAGTGACAGCATTTTCCATGACCAGTATGGCTCTGGGCTAAAAATAGGCACCATGTAATTTCCAGAATTTTCCAGGAATTATCGTGGCAGCA